GCTCACGAACGTTGTATTTCAAACAAACAATAGCCTCTTGCAGGCGTTCCCTTCCGCTCCTCTCCTCCCCATTCTCTCTCGGCCCCCCAGCAGGAACGCCTGTTAGCAGGCTACGTGAACGTTGAATGAGGTGACAGCAAAAAAAGTTCGTGATTCAAGATTCAACAAACTGTTTCATACAGCATCAGAAAAGTAAATTGCAGACATCTTTAATTACATGTGAAATAAATGTTTGTAGCAATATTACAGAGCGCTAGACAGATAGTCGCCAATTGTTGATACACAGATAAGCGCTTGGTACTGACTTTTTAACCAAGCGTAAGTGCTTTTTTACAGTAATACCACTTGTTAGATTCGGAGCCAGGTAGCACCGCTCGGAACGGGTCTCATGATAGGTTGAGAAAACAATGGACAAACAATAGATAAGTCTTCCAACAATATAACAAAAACCTAACCTAACAATAGTGGTGCTGTACTTAAGGAGCAATCAAAAAGCAGGTTTCAATTGGTACTGCATTACTGTAGATTCGCGAGTCTACAAGTACTCATTCTTGCGAGTGACTGATTGCATTTATGAATATTCCTATTTGCATCACTCGCGAGCGAGAATAGTCACTCGTGGCTCGCACTCGTGAGTGTATGGTACTTTACTCACGGCCGGTACTGTACATCATGGCAGCACAAGATAAAAGGTTCTTCTTGGAATACATTCGAGAAATATTGAAAATTTCGTTGTTTTCATTGATATAAAGTAACAATTTTCACAAGATGAGGACGACAACGAAAACATTCGGACCCAATCTCCGCGCGGTCAAACTTCGTCATCGTTTTTGTCTTYGTTCTCGGCTTTAAAGTTCGCTATTACCCTACCAAACATCAAAGTATGAGCCAAATCGATTTTTCAAGGTTTGCCACCACTTGTTCGATTTTTTCGGACATGCACTCTTAAGTTTAAAAAAACCTTTTAAATCATATAACAGCTGATTAAGACATCCCATTTGCAAATAAGAACAAATATTCACTTAATAATATTTGTTGGTTCAGAATAAAATAATATCAAAAAGAGTAAGTCATAACAACTATCAAAAGTCTTCCACAATTAAATTGAAACTACTTTATTGATGCAAGTTATTCTATTCTGATGGACATAAACACTCTACCCTCACTGATTCATATTTCTGATAACTTTGTGTAAATTTATAACTGTTTCCTTAATTTTTCAGGTGTACGTRTTAATACTACCAAGAATGGCTCTGCAATTGAGGAAAATGACCCTTTGAACAGCAATCAGGAACACGTCAAGAACCATTACATGCAAGATTTTCAAAGTAGAAAAAAATAGGCTCATTCCTATTGTGCAAAAAAAAACAGTTGTCAAATGATAGTCCATAATACTATAAATGCATCCCAGATTTCATTGTAACTTTATTCAGTAACTCCTTAATAGAATTATTGAAGACATGATTGTTTGCCAGACAAGGTATTGGACTTTGAACCATTATGCACCAGTCATTT